TCGATTACGTAATTTAAAGTCATATACACGAGGTAATAACATAATAACAAATTCATACACGATGTCAATTTTTTTTTCTGAGCAAGTGGGTGAGACTCAGACAGTATGTTTATATATTACTGAAACTGCTTTAACATTTGGGAGTCAGAGCCATAGAAAATCCATTTCCTGAAAGTCAAGATAGTGATGCTATATGTGAGACATTTCATATTCTTCTTTAACTGTATGATTAGGAAAAAGAAAACAATGATGATATTTGGATTTCGCACGTCACATGTTGTCAAGGCGCCGAAATTTCGTATGACAATAATTCTTTTTAGATGAAAACGAGTTTTTCGAAAGTAATGGTTATTGAGCTGTGCTAAGTAGTAATTGTTTAGATGTAATGATTCACCATCGTATACTAGAATGTTTTGAATTACGATGAACATTTTTTCTTTCTTTCTTTCTTTCTTTCTTTCTTTCTTTTTTTCTTTCTTTCTTTCCATTTTCATGCCAGCGTATTTTAAGGTTAATTTAGAAAAAGGTATGAAAGAGTATGACTATCCCAACAGTGCAAAAGATGTATTTCAGCGGTTTTCGATTATATCTTCATTACAGCTGCATGTATTTCAGAATATAATTGAAACCGGTCAAACAATCTGTTACACTGCGAAGATACTTATTCATTCTCATTCATATTCTTATTCTATATCTGTCGTAACAGAGACTGTTCATTTTCGGGTTAAGTTTGATGTTTGTCTGTTTATATATTCCAGCCTGTTCTGTTCGGTGTTTTGCTGTTTTAGTTTTACATATTTTACATTAAGCGATTGTTTTATTTTCTTACTTTCACACTTAGGGCTACTTGATATTTTAGTGATTTACAGTTTTACTTTGTATTAAGGTGACGTGTGTGTGTGTGTGTATGTGTGTGTGTGTGTGTGTGTGTGTGTGTGTGTGTGTGTGTGTGTGTGTGTGTGTGTGTGTGTGTGTCTGTGTGTATATGTGTGTGTGTATGTGTGTGTGTGTGTGTGTGTGTGTGTGTGTGTGTGTGTGTGTGTGTGTGTGTGTGTGTGTGTGTGTGTGTGTGTGTGTGTGCTTATGTGTATTCTTATAAACGCACATGGATTTCATCATGAAATGACTAACATATATTTAAATAACCTACATAAACACGTCCCTCGCCACGATAAACACATTAATACTGACATTTATATCATACCTCTCAATAGTCGTCGTCCTGTTTATGCTTCCCTCTCTGACTGGCAGTTGGCAACATTTGGATCAATATATATACTAAACGGCCCGACGCTCTCACTAAAAAAGCAAATGTTGATAAAGAATAACGGGGAAAGGTCTGCGGCAATACCCCCACCCCCACCCCCTTCCTTCTCCCAGCCCTCCTTTCTTATGACATGTTCTGTATCTGTTTGACAGACAAACAAACATATCTCAGTGGTTTTCTCACAGAGAGATAAACGGTTAATAATCCTGTGTCTCTTTTTATAAGATCTAAAGAGATGAAGCCAATAATAATAACTGATAATTATAAAAATGACTGTCGTGATTTATGATAATGATAATGGTTAATTTTAGGGTATATAGACTCATAATATCTATCTTATTCTTATAGTTACCCCTCGGAATGTAACAGTAAAACTATTCCCAGTGTCATGGTTGTTATCATTTTCTTTATCATTATTACAATTATTATCGTTTTCATTAAGATTACTGCTATTGTCGATATAGATGAATATATTCATTAATTGTAGAGTTGTTTTTTTCTACAGTTCTATTACTTCCATTGTTGTTCTTGTCATAACTATTATTTGTCATTATTATTAGTATGTTGTTAATGTCATCACTATTGTGCTGTACACCTTATTGATGTGGACAGATATCATCACTGACAAGGTCATTATAATGATCCTAATTGATAATGGTATATTAATGTTATTACTATAATCATTTTTTAAATTATCCTACTTTTAGTAGTGGTAGTAGTAGTGATAGAAGTAGAAGTAGTAATGACAGTAGTAGTAGTAATAATAGCGGTAGAAGTAATAGGAATAATCGTGTAATAGTAGTAATAGTAGTAGTATGGATCTGGTGGTGGTGGTTGAAGTAGTAATAATAGTAGCAGTAGTAGTAATAGTAGAAGTATGGTGGTTGTGGTGGTAAAAGTAGTATTAATACTAATATTAGTTGTAGTATAGTAGTAACAGTTGTAGTATGGTGGTGGTAGTAGTAGCAGTAATACCAATAGTAGTTGTAGTACTAGTAATACTAATAGGAGTTGTGGTAGTAGCAATGGCAGTAGTATGATGGTAGTAGTAGTAGTAGTAGTACTGGTATATTTTTACTAATGGTACTGTTCCTACGTTGATTATCAACCTCATTATCATTCACACTGTCTAATTGGATATCCTATTCATTATTATTTTTTATCTCTAACCATTATAAAAGATTACTACTTGCAACTGCAACTGAAAACGAAATAAAAAGAAAACGTATTTGTTGGGGAATCTTTTTTATACCCCAGCGGCACCAGAATCAACAAGTATAATGCTAGTAATCAATAAAAAAAAATAGACGGTACCATAAGTATTCTAATATCGCATCGTACAAGTAACCTTATTGCCCGTAGTCTAATAGCGGTTTATAAGTGTTGTTGCTAAATAACAGTCGCTTAAACATATATGTTGTACATGTATATCTTGATGAATGACACTGTTACTGTGTAGTTGCAGTGTACTATATGGGTTTCTATCTTACTGGTGTAATAGTAATGGTATAAGTTCAAGACTATAAACAATTACGTGGCAATGTAGTAGTAATAGTAGCTTGATAATTGAGGAGTAATAGGAGTACATAAGTGTGACAATCGCATAACACAAAGATTCATCAAAGTACTTTTCAATTTAATCCTTCATTGCCCATGCGCTCAGCCGCTGTGCCTCGTTTACGTATTGGCATGCTTAGGTCTTTTCCCCTGTCATGTCGACTTAGCTTTAAAAAAATCCTTTTGTATATATATATAAATATATATATATATACACACACATAAATATACTGCAGATATATCGGGTATTCGCACAGCCTAAACTAAAAGGAAGGATAATAAAATACAACTTTAGGAAATATCTCAGCTTTGTTGCAGTCATCAAGGAAAGAAAGAAATACAATGTGAGAAATTATAGAAATAAACCCAGAGTCGATCCTCAAAAGTGATTCATTTCTCAAACGTCATAAAAGGAATATTTTGATACACTTATTGTACCCTGTCAGTTTGTAATTTCTTAGAAAGTATGCATTTTTTCTCCGTTTTTTTTCTTCTTTTTTTTTGGGGGGGGATATAATCATGATAACATAGTTAGGGCATTGTGGTAAATTAAAATCCCTAACTGGGAAAACATATATCACGGTTGTCGTTTAAAACACACCGTTCGTCACTGAAAAATTGCCATTCGTGTCAAGGAAGGGAAGAGAGAAAGAAAGAGAGAACCAGTTATTTGCAAACGTCCGCGATCGTTGCTAATACTTTGTCTGCAATCAAGGAGGCTGTATCGTGAGTCATGTAGGATGTGTCGTAGCTGATGGAGTAAGGACAGTGACCGCGAAATGTGTAGATCTGATGAAGCATCATGAAGAGAAAACGGTGAGCAGATGAAGCCATGAGGATGTCCGTCAGCTGGAGGTGCTCGTCGTGTCCCTTGATAAGAGTGGCCAAGTCGCCCAAGCTGGCGAGGCCGTAGTCTCTGGTCACTGGCGGGGGCGTCATGCAGTATTGGTGCGGGTCGACGGGCGGCTGCGTCATCTCACGCACCACCTCCTGCTGCAGCGCCAGGCCGGAGCGGATCAGGTCCGCCAGGGAGCCGTGCAAGGCCCTGCAATAGTGCCAGAAGTGGTCGCGCACGCGCGCGGGGGTGACCACGCGGTGCACAGTAGGGCGCACGTGCAGGCCCAGCACCGCCAGCGGGTTCCTGCTCATGTAGCGGCGGACGTCGGTGGCGAGATTGATGCTGAGGCTGAAGGCGTCCTGCTGCAGGCCGGCCTCCGCCACAGTCTCCACCAGTGCCGTGTTGATGGCCGCCTGCAGGCCGCTGTTGAACGTCACGCCCTCGGACTTGCACTTGGCAGTGAACTTCCGCAGGAGCGTCGGGCTGACGTCCCTGAAGACGTGGCCGGAGGCGGGGACGCCCCCAGGCCTCGGAAACGCCTTCAGGAGGATCGGCTCGGAGTCGCAGGCCAGCAGCTCCTCCTTCATGGCCTCCAGACGTGCCGGGTCCCTCTCGAACTCCGCGCGGATCCTGCGCTTCGCCGCGTCGATCTCCGTCGACGGCACCAGCTCTCCGATCTGCCGCGAGTCGTCGACGGGGCGGCCTGCGATGACGTCATTGAGGAGCTCCATGAGCCTCTGGACGATCAACGCCATCGTTGGGCCGCCGATGAAGGAGTGGTGGACGGGCATGACGAGGTAACTCTGATGAGGGAACTGCTCACGGACCTCCTTCAGGTGGGAAGGCCTTCCGGCAGCCCTGGCGTCACTGCGGTTACCAGGCATGAACACAGCCTGCCAGAGAGGCGCCTGATCGTAGCCCATGGGCGTGTTGGTGTAGCGCCACATCTCCTGCACGACGTCTCCTCCCTCCAGTACCTGTCGTGGCAGTGAAACTATCGGTTACGACGGGAAATTCCTTTGTTTACAATAATTGGGGCGAATTTAGCTGTTGTTCACAGTTTGATGTTCTCAGTAATGATATCATTTTATAGTGTCTGTTAAGTATGGAAAGAAAATGTTGGCTGCATTACCTTGAAACGAATTTCATCTTGATCGCTTTCACAGATCCAGAATTTTCCGTTTCTGATTTTCATGAATGCACGAAGAGCTTGAGTCTGTCTACAGTAAGGTTGTTAGTTTAGAGAAGAAACCGTTAAACATAGATAACTGTACAAGATGGAGAAACGGGCGGAAGAAAAATTAATCGATAATGGGCCAAGATGAAGTAAATAAGGTTCATATTTAGATCTAAAGTAAATTACGCGCAGGCAAAGGTCCAAGTAAAGTGCTAATTTAGAGAGACGCAATTTCGAAGTGAAACATAGCAAGAGAGTTGCCAAGACAAGCATTCCCCCATACCTTCAGCATACAGCAAAAAAAAAAAATCCTATTCAAGAGCAATCTGACCTTGAATAGCGTTTTAAAATAGTTGTGAAAACAATAGTATTGGCGAAAGCAATATCTGCCTCCTCCTCACCTCTGCAGATGGCCCAGTGCCTTCTCCACCTGCTCAGGGCGTAGAGGCTTCAGCGTGTTCAGAGTGTAACAACCCAGCGTCAGCCTGCAGCCATAGGTGTGTCCAACGGCGAACATCGCCTCACTCGCGTCCGCCTCCCAGAGCCATTTGATCGTCTCGCTCCTCCCCTTAGCCACGCCCCCTGCCACGCCCCTCGCTATGCTCAGGGTGCTGCTCGCGGGAATCCTCGTCGCCGTCGGTCTCGCTAGGGTCGAGGCCATGCTACAAGGTAATGAATTTCATACTCGATTATTTGTATTTCCATACGTACATGCACACACTTGCAGACACAATCATGTTTATATATACATACATACATGTATACACACACGCGCGCGCATTCATACATACATATGACTGCCTCAATGGTCCACTAGATCAAAAATTTAACCCCGACCTTTGTGGTCCCAAGATCGAATCCCAGCCACGGCACTTGCAATAGAGGGAACATAAGCTCCGTGGCAGAACCCTGCCTTTGCAGTCGTAAGGTCCCGGGTTCGCGCCCGGCCAGCCCTTCTCAGCCGACTCAGCTGTGAGTACTGGCGACATGCCGGTGTGTGTGTGTGTGATGTGTATATGTATATGTGTGTGTGTGTGTGTGTAATTATGCGTGTGTGTGTGTGTGTAATGAGAATGAATGAATATCTTCACGGTGCAAGAGATACATTTTACCGGATTCGAACTTAGAATGCCATGGTACTGTCAGTAGATGGACATTTACTGAACTGGAAGCAAACAGGTCGCCCACGAGGGATTGCATTAACAAAAAAGAAAAATAATAGAAGCGGCGGACATCGCGACGGAGGAAATTGTAAACACCGCATCGAGAAGCTATGAATTATCCAAGGTAACTCTTCAGCTCATGGCTGATATGTAGGATATATATATATGTATATATATACAAATATATATATATATATATATATACATATATATATATATATATATATATATATATATATATATATATATATATATATATGTTCTCATTCTCATTCATACCTTCTCTATATTTATCGGTATGAAAATCATCCATGTGTGTGTGTGTGTGTGTGTGTGTGTGTGTGTGTGTGTGTGTGTGTGTGTGTGTGTGTGTGTGTGTGTGTGTGTGTGTGTGTGTGTGTGTGTACCCGCCCACGCGCTCATGTATGTCTGTATGTAAATATGAATATGCTTAAAGCATTCCTGTGCCTCTTAAACAGTACTTTATATACACGTTCACTCTATGCAAGCAAAATTTCAGGCCAGTCATAGCAGTCTCTGAAACGACACGATAAGAATTTCCAACGTGTCCGAGTCCTATGATGTGGTCTTGACTTCGGTTGGATGAATATCTTCAAACTCATTTTGACCACTGTGATGTAGCCTTACAAACTCAAAGTATCAAATAAAAGGCCGTGTGTCTTGATTAACTTAGTGTCTTTATATCAAGTATTAAGTAAATGCTTGTGATCATTTGAATTATCAATCTGTGTTAGACTTGAACACGGTGCTCACTCGCTGTGGATACGATAAGATGCTAAGCTATTTTATGAGTGACACAATTCAGCTTTTCATAATGAAACATGGATGTAATTAGAAAAAGAAAGATGTCTTTTCTGAACATTCCGAGCCCAAGAGCAGACACAAGCCAAGAGCAGACAGTGTTTGGGGCTTTGGGATGTTACAAAAAAGGATATATAGGTAGATAGATAGATAGATAGATGTGTGAGTGTGTGTGAGTGAGTGTGTGTGTGTGTGTGTGTGTGTGTGTGTGTGTGTGTGTGTGTGTGTGTGTGTGTGTGTGTGTGTGTGTGTGTGTGTGTGAGAGAGAGAGAGAGAGAGAGAGAGAGAGAGAGAGAGTGTTTGTGTACACACACACACACACACACACACACACACACACACACACACACACACATATATATATATATATATATATATATATATATATATATATATATATATATATATGTATATATATATATATATATATATATATATATACATATATACATATATATATATATATATATGAAAGATGGACTAATTCAGTGCCGCATGGATATGGACAAATATCAACCCTCCGTGACCAGGACTCAGCCATTCCAGGTATAACCAGTAACCAGTACTAAATCAACCGCACAGAAGGAGTGTGCGACTAGGATCTCACTAGCTCCGTAGACATTACCTATCTACTCATAATAGAATAATGAATGCGAAGTTTTACACGCATTTGATTTAGCAATTCAAATCCTAAGTCAGACGTACTGAGGTATATTTATGAAAGATGGAATAATGCAGTGCCACAGTGATATCAAGAAGTGCCTACGGGGAGTGTGTGTGTGTGTATGTATGTGTATGTAGATGCATACATACATATATATATATACACATATGTACAAAAATATATCCAAATATACATGTATATACATATTTATATATGCACAAACTCATATGTGTCTGTATGTGCTTAGGCGTGGGCTTAAACATGTGTTACGTATGTATGTGTGTATACGGAAAATAAATGAACACACCAACCTCATGTATCTGCAAACTGTAAGGCTTTTCATTGCTGCCATGATAGAACAAACACTTCCTGCAACAGAAAACCGTGAAGTTAGAAAAGTAGACAGGAGCCAATAGCAGTGGAAAGTATGCATGTCAGAAGAAGAGAGAGAAAAAGAGAGGTAGAGTGAGAGCGAGAGAGACAAAGAGAGTGAGAGCGAGAGAGTCAAAGAGAGTGAGAGAAAGAGAGACAAAGAGAGTAAGAGCAAGAGAGACAAAGAGAGTGAGAGGAAGAGAGACAAAGAGAGTGAGAGCGAGAGATTGGTTGAGAGAGAGAGAGAGTGGAAGAGGGAAAGGCAGACAGAGAGAGAGAGAGAGAGAGAGGAAGAGGGAAAGTCAGACAGATAGAAAGATAGGAAAAGAGGAAACAGAGAAACCTGCTGACCTGCCCCCTGCTTGATCTCTGACTGCCAGTTTCTCAGCAGCCTCTTCGTTTTATATGCAACATGCAAGCATTCTTATCTTAACATTATTTTTCTATTTCAGTTTATCTCTCTTGTGGGCAATCCCAAAAAAAAAGGAAAAGGAGTTTTAAATCACCAAGCAAAGTAGTAATTGTGTGCTATGTCCAATACGCCGTCTTTCTGAGCGTGTGTATACATATAGATATAGATATTTATGTATATATATTTATTTATGTTTATATACACAAACACACACACACACACACACACACACACACACACACACACACACACACACACGTGTGTGTATAACAAGTGAAACCGTGAAACCAGCGAAGGTAACCCAGGAGAGTCTCCCCCAGACGCACACCTCACAGCGCCCAACTCTGTCCATTTGTTTGTACGCGGTTTCGAATCTGATGTCTTATCAGGCGACCTTGACACGAGTAATAAATTCTGACCTGACTCAGGATAATGTGAAAAAGTCTACTGTTCATTGGACAAGGAAATAATCGGTGAAGAAGTGTGTATGGGAAGAAACAAGGAAGAGACGAGAAAGATACGAGGGCCAGGCTGAGCGACAGCATGTGTGGTGAAAAGTCGTCAGACCCGAACACTTCTTAGACAGATCTCCCGAGTTCTAACTTAGAGCATTCTAGAACCCAAGATGAAGGCAATGTTGAGGAAGTCAATAGATAATGAAGTGAAAACAATCTTTCAGTTTTCCTCTTGATAATAATTAATCTCTAGTTGCCGATCTGACACTCCTTGAAAGTCAGTGGTGGTAGTTTACCACTTAATTGTGAAGTGTTATACATTAGATAACAGAGTATCGAATCATAAAATTATCTCCTTGTATCCATTTCGGTTAATTATTCGTTTGAAAAGGAATTCGTGACGAGTTCGAAACGTTATAATTCTGTTTCTTTTATTATTGTGGATGTTTTACTTTTCGTATTTGTGTATACGTTACTGTGTTTGTGTTTGTGTTCATATATACTTACAGTACATACATACATACATATATAGCAATAAGTGCTACAAATAAAGGAAAATTAAACCGCAAAAATCTTTTATTTAGTATATTCGATACACCCTGCATCGCGTCAGTAAAACACGTCATTACACTAGAGCAGTGTTTTTTACCCTTTTTAGTCACGGATACCTTTCAGAATCTGGTGTAAGATTCCCCTTGAAATAGTCACATAGAGACAACTTTACTTGTACTTTATATATTGATATAGATACACAAAGTATCATTAAACCTTAAAGTAAATAATCTCAAAAAAAAAAAAACGCAGTCATTTTTACACAGAAAGTAATGTTATCTTTTTTATCTCATCTTGCTAATGGACTCCAGAAATATAGAGATGGTGTTTTTTTGTATTTCTATTTTTCATTTTTTTAAATATGATCTTGATAAAGTCGTTAGCGTGCATTGTTAAATCAAAATCCTTAACATATATCTCGGTTGTCGTTTATAATGACGTCACCGTTCGTCACAGAGAATTTGACACTCAAACAACAGGTCAATGAAAGGAAAAGAGAAAGAAAGAGAGATCTAGTTATTTGCAAATGTCCGCGATTGTTGCTAACACTTTGTCTGCAATCAAGGTGGCTGTATCGTGAGTCATGTAGGATGTGTCGTAGCTGACGGCGTAAGGACAGTGACCGCGGAATGTGTAGATCTGATGAAGCATCATGAAGAGAAAACGGTGAGCAGATGAAGCCATGAGGATGTCCGTCAGCTGGAGGTGCTCGCCCTCTCCC